ATATATATATATATACACCCACACACACACACACACATACATACATATACATACATACTGTATACATACAAAGTTACATTGTACAACGGTCAGTCTTGTTCAATATCACCAGTTCTTGCTGTCAAAAACTCAAGAAAACATGCAGTTTTCTCAGCTTTTTCTTTTGAATTCCTTTTGGCTGGATGTGTTAGGGGCTAAACGTGGCAAGTTATGTGCTTTATTGCTATAGCATCATTAAAATGTACTGCATTCCAATCTTTGTTACTTCTGTGGGAATCTATGGTATGCAAAGTGTCAAAGTATTCTTCTGTCATTTCTTGGCAAAGATAAATTGCAAAAAGAAAAAAAATGCTGTATTTAAGGACGTTAGTTATATATTACAAGCATTTTAATTGTTTCTGTGCTTTAGATACATCAAAGTTATGTCTCTTCTTTAAATCAAAGTGCTTGTTTCAATAAGTTTACCTAAACAAGAGGTTCATTAAATTATTTATAGCAACAGCCAGTGAGTGTGCAAAAAGTAACAATTAAAAGGGGGACTTGATGACAGCTATTACTACTAGGCCCTAGAGTGGAATCTGGTTGCTCATATCATGTTCAAGAGATACTTAGAGTGTGAAAGAGAGTGTGATTAGTCAGCATAAGAACTGTCTAATCATAAGCTTCCTCTGAATCATAGTACTGCATGAATAACCAACTCTGTGTCCTTCAAATTCTGTTCTCACAAACTCTTACCATTATCCAACCTTACTGGGACTGTTAGAAACCAAAATCCAAAACTTCTGGACAGTGTCCGGTCTGTCAGTGCCCAATAAGAATGGTTCTGTTAACTTGATGAGGCACTGTTACACTAAACTTTTAAAAAACTTTTGACATGGGAGGGCAGGGGTTTGTCTGAGTTCTTAAACTGCTTAGAGTCAGACTGAAGCAGCACAAAAGTCACAGTAGTTAATTAATAAATGCCTCACCAAAGACTTCTCAACAAACTTTCCAATCACAGGATTAGAGGAATTCTTATGAATCAGTAACTCATAAAGAGCAGGAAGAAGGTTGCAATAAATGGACAGTCCTCACAAGAAGGGCATGCAGGAAGTGCAGTCTCCAAGGATTAGTATAGAAACTGATGAGTCTACTTTTGTTGTTAAATGACCTGGAACGGTGAGGTAACTAAGCTTCAAAGTGATAAAGATAAAATGGATTGCAAAGAACTCCAAAAGGATCTCTCTAGCAAAATGGCAAACACTCTTAAATGTGGAGTCCCTGGTGCTCTCTGAGCTTGTTTGTTCTCTTGCAGACATTTCATTACCCAACTTTATCAGTTGGGTAATGAAACATCTGCAAGAAAACAAACCAAGCTCAGAGAGCACCAAGGACTCCACAGTTCAACCCTGAGCGACATATATTCTCTTCTATTGGAACTCTTAAATGTATATGAAGGAAAAATTACGTACATTGGGCAAAAAATCCTAACTTTACATATGTTTATGAGGTCTAAAGTGGGAATGACTGGCTTGGGTTGCTGTGGATATGCGAATCAAAATGATAACCTAGTGTGTATGGCAACTCTACCAGGCTATCTGAGGGATGACCTCTCCCAGATTTCATCTGCCTGTCTTACCAGATCCAACAGAGAGGGCATGTTACAGGTTCTGTTGCCTAAGGAGCTATATTTGGCGAGCCCCAGGCAGTGGGCTTTTTCCGTTGTAGTGCCTGCACTGTGAAATCTTCTCCCCCATGAGGTGAGGTTGGCTTCAACATTGTTGAGCTTCCAGAGGTCCCTTAAGACTTATTTATGCCAGCAGGCCTGGAGTTCCCAGGGGACGAGGGAATTAGTGAAGTGGCTCCCTTATTTGTAACATCCTTTTATTCTCTGTTTTATTTTGGTTTTTATATTTTTAAGGTATTTATTGACTGGTTTTAGCTTTGTTGTATACCACCCAGAGTCACCTGTGGTGAGATAGGCAGCTATATAAATTGGTTTAATAAGTAAATAAACCCTGAAAAAATGGTAGGGATCATCAAAAACACATTAATTCCAGTTGCCTTCAAAGAAGGAACAACTGTCTTGATTACCTGGGTGTAAATTGTGCATTATTATCTAGTTTGCCACTGGGTGAAAAAAAGATGCTGGATTAAATAAAAAAGTAAAGGTAGTTTTCTTGGCAACAACACAGTATTTTTTTATTGTCTCCTGTAAAAAACTAACCAGTTCTGACCTTCTTAGCTCTTTGAGATCTGCCAAGTTCAGTTAGGTGCCACCACTTAGATGGACAAATAAAAGCACTCTCATCAAGTAGAGCATATCCATGCAGTTTTGCTGGCAGCAGTACAAAATTGGTTTGCAATTGCCTTCTTCTGGACTGTGTTTTAGATCCTTGCTCTAGTCTACAAACT